ACCTAACGGCCTCGAATGCATTACCTTTTAGCTGGGTTATTATGGCTTCTATTAAATTATAAAATGTTCAGTTTTTATAGCTAAGGATTGAAAATTTAAAACAAGATTCCACGGAAGTAGTTAATTCTCTTACTGAAAAATCTAAAAAATATACAATCACAGTTTATTTTTTAAAGACATTTTAAATTCAAATTTGGACGAAATTACATATTAAAAAACCTAGAATAACTATTTTAGTTATTTTGTTGTGATTGTATAATATTATTCGTGGGTACTTGAAACTTCTAAAGTGTACTATTATATATCTATGATAGTATCACGGTTTTTTTTTGATGTATAACGCGTTATAAGTATCTAATGGATATTGTGATATGATTAATTTGGAATTTATTATAGGTACCTATTATAGGGCAATTTTTTGTTTAATACCATAAATATGTATATAATATGTCTGATACATAGACTGATATACCGTCACCGCTCAGAATCGTTTTTCTTATACAAATTGAATACCATCCATTATACAGTGACCCACTTGTAACCTACTGTACAGCAGAGCGACACCCACTTGCCCACCTTTTTTTTTGTTATTATAGTTTGTGCATATTTATCACTTAAAATCCTCAATCATTACTAATATATTCCCGGTCATAACTTGGTGCGTGGTGCATGCTATCTAGTATCAATGTTTGGCGTTCCGGGCTGGCTACCGATACTAGATAGTTGCATATTTATCTACTGGTGGCGCGTCGGTTCTCGGCGCTGTTGTGGATTCTTCGCGTTGTTTTATCACTGTACGCGCTAGTGCGTATTAGATGTATGTTATTGTAAGAGAAATGAAGGCAGGTAATTTTGTCTCGTTACAAAGGGTAAAACACATTAAAAAAAAAGTAAAAAGTATTTAAGAGTATCTGTAAATACTTTTTACAATTTTTGTATTTGTACTTAAATGCTTATTTCTTCAAGTATTCAAATACGTATTTTAAATACTTTTGAAATAATATAAGTCGCAAAACTTTTGATTTGAAAATAGCTATATAAAAATACAATTTTGAATCTAATATATTTTCAAAATATATTGCTGAATAATTTTAGTACCTATTGATTAATGATTGTATTACTAATGATCAGGGCTCGTAAGTTCATGCACTAAAAAATGCATAAATTAGCATGCATTCATGCACTAAAAATTGGTAAAATATGCATTAAAATATGCTCTAAAAAGTTCGAAAAATGCATTTATATGCCCTAACATTTTTAAATTATGCACTCAAAATATGCATTATGTAAAAAAAAAAAATCATGAGCAAATTTTAAAATAATAAGAAAAATAAATATATAAATTTTTATACATTTTAATAAATAAAAATAAAATTAATAGTTGTGCTCGTTTAAAGCTTTGTCATATTCTTTAATTAGTCATTTGTTGTCTATGTCATCCTTATCCAGCACCTGAAATGAAAATATTTAGAATGAAATATTAGGAATTTCATTTTGAGATAGGTATTTTAGTTAAATATTTATAAAAATTATATTTACTTTAGAAATTACACTGTATGATTAGTGTTTTTTTTATATTTTCCAACTTAAAAGATCGGCGGTTGTCTACCAATAAGTTTTTGAGCATGGAAAAGGATCTTTCAACATCTGCTGAAGTAAGGGGTGCATATTTAAAGTACAATAAATCGTTGGCAGTCATATCTTCGGGTAGATCTAAATTTATAATATTGTCTTCATTGCCACTTAAAACTTTGGAAATTTTACAAATTATGTTGTATCCGATATTTTTGTCCAAAACATATTTTAGTTTTTTTTTAATTTCAATTCCGTGATGTCCTTCTAATTTTGAAAATGTGTCTACGATTTCTTCGACTATTTTAAGTCCTTCACTTAATATAATGCTTTGTTCTTGAAGACGCGTGATCGCTATTGGTAGGCAATCAAAATTTGATTTGATATAAATCAAGTTGGCCTGTAACTGTTGGAGTTTGAATACTTGTTTCGATTTTTTTACAGCTACAGCATCTCTTTCGTCAAATGATTCAACTACACGTTTTATAGTTTCAAAATGTGTGCAGTAGTACGATGCAGCAGTTAACCATGTACCCCAGCGAGTAATAACAGGTGATGGGGGTAATGGTAAACCAGGTGCTTCATCTCTAAATGTTTGAATACGATACAGACATTTTCGAAATACTTGTTTAACATTGGCCACTAAATCGTCTACATTTCCAAACTGTGATCGAATTTCTTCGGCAACACGATGTAGACCATGTGCCAAACAGGTGAGATGAATCATTTTCGTGTAAAAAGATTGTAAAGTACGAGCTGCCTTTGTCATATACGGTGCGGCGTCAGTTACAAATAACAGGACATCATCGTACTGTATTCCGTCGGGCCAAAGTAACAACAACGATTTGCTCAATGCTTTACATATAGTACTATGATTTGCTTTTTCCAGCTCATCAATATTTAATAAAAATATTTCACCAGGAGAATCATGTAAGAGTGTTCCAATTATTGTGCTCACTATATACCTGCCCTCAACATCTGTGGTCTCATCCATCGATATCCATATTTTTTTACCGTTAACTTTTTTTTTAATGTTGTCAACCGTATCGATGTAACATTTTTCAATATATCCTAATCGCAATGTCGATTCTACAGGGGTATCTTTCATAGTATACTTTTCAAGGAAACTTTTAAATTGTGGATTGGATAATTTGTATAGAGGTATATTGGCAGCTAACATCGCTTTACATAAATCTAAGTTATATTCACTTGTTTTTGATAATGAAGGTACGAGCAGCTGTATTTTTTTGTTTTCCTCCTTTCTTTGGAAACGTTGAACACCGCGTACATGCTTATCTGATGTAATATGTTGAGAAATACTGAAACGTTTTTCACTAGATATTTTTGTTTCGCAAACTTTACAGACCAAAACTTTGTTGTCGGTTGATAACGCTGGAAAAAAAAATTAAAACACCATCAATTTGTTAACGGGAAAGTAAATAAAAACAAGAAACTTTTCAAATATTTGTCTAAAAAATATTTTTATGAAATAATATGCACTAACGACTGTAAAAAATCAACTATATGCCAAATATGCCTTAACACCCAAAACATGCAAAAACATGCACTATCAAACTTCATATTATTATTACTATTGCTATGAAACGGATTTCTATCTCAGTTAGCATGTTTTCCTGTGTAGCAAAAAAAACATGCACATGCATGAACTTACGAGCCCTGCTAATGATGTACTAAAATACGAAAACATTTAATCTAAGTGTTTAATCATTACCTTTGCAAAAATATTTTTGATTTTTACTCAACACATTTTGTAAAAATTCACACATTTATTTTGTAAATTTTTATTTTTTAGTACTGATAATTCCGACTTTTTATCTTATTTTATTAACAATTATACATATAGTAATATAGTAAGTTAGTACCTACTATTAGTAACTATTTAAGTATATAATACAAATTAATTTAAAAATATATTAAGGTGTACCAACCTTAAGCACACTGCCAGTTTTTCCTTAGGTAGAATTGATTCCCTAAATGGTGTATTCTGTTTAGTGATCTTGTACTTGATTTTCAAAAATAAAACATTAAACTAAAATTTCGAAAATATTTAAAAAATATATCTTCGTGGTCTTCCAGCGTTTTACATAATGTTGCATATTCTTATTCAATTTTTCGTTTTTTTAATATTTCGTGGACCCATATTGATCTTTTTTTTTTGCTTTTTTTTAGCCATTTCTAATTCTTGAGCACATTTTGTCAAAATTCGATGTTTAAATGTTTTAAAAAAAAAAATTGTGCTTATGTTTTTTTTTAATATTTTTCAAATGCCAATGTAACAATATAGTAGGAGCCTTTTTCAAGCTTTTTTAACCAACAAATTAAATTTTATTGATATTCTTAGAAAAAAAACTAAAAAAAAAATGGAAAATGAAAATGTGCCTAAAAAGTTCAAAATAAATCAAAACATTTTGAAAATGTTATCGTGTATAGAAAATGCTAATATAAACATTCAGTCAACATTTCATGTACCTACGGCCATTTATTAAAGAGTTGCACCAAAAACCAAAATCGATTTTTTCGAAAACAGTTGTTAGTGTAAAAATTCCCGTTTTTCTTAATTTTTATTTTGTTTTAGGCTCCGCTTTTGAAAACTACTGGGAAATTTTCACTTTTGACCCCTTCAATGTACCAACTAGTTTCACTTTCCTATCAGAAAAGCTACTGTTAAAGAAAATCCAACCACTTTTCTGTCCTAAAACGTGATGACAGACACAAAAAAAATAAAATCAATACATTCATCGTTTCACTCAGAATCTATTAAGTCATTTTTTTTCATTTTTTAGTTAATTAAGTTATTTTATTTTATAATTTGACAATAATTGTTGGGTCATTTTTTGCATCATTTACCATCATTTTTAGGTCATTTATTCATATTTTTTTAGGTTCTTTAGGTCATCAACTTCCGAGCCCTAGACTAACGATCCATATTTTTCCATATTCTAATTACAATTAATTATGTACGGAACGTTTAGAGTAATTTGAGTATTACATTTTCCATTTTCAGGCATAACAATCAAAATACAAATTTAAAATTGACAATCATTGTAAACTGTTTTTGGAAATAATCTTAAAAAAAGCATCATATTGTCTTTCTTATTTTACGTTCTCTCTTCCCCAAAAAAGCGCACTGCCATATCACAGAATAGATTAAATCAGAAGGGACACTTTAAATGTAAACAAAAACGTGACGGCCATGTTGGCGTTGGCTACTTTATCAATTTAGTGTTATCAGGTAAACAACTGGTATCATAATTCATGATTTAAGGTTATTAAAAAAGTAAAAAACTTAACAAGAGCGTTTGTCACGGTTTTTATTTTAAGTGCGTACTGCTTTTAACTGTTCTCTTGTGGTCTGTGCCTTTGTGAATAATATTGTACATTTTGTTAGATATCTACATAATATAACAATGTCGAGCCGAAAGAGTGGTTATTCATTTAAATGCATTGTGAAATCGTGCGGAGAACTGAAAATTCAAAAAGAATCTGTTAGTTTTTTTTCTTTTCCCAAAGATCCTGCTCGGTAAGTATTTTATATTATAATTTATAATGATGTTAATTATCAAACAATTCAATGGTACTTGTTAAATATATAACATAATATTACACAGTTGCACAATAAACCAAATGTTTTAAGTCTAGTAAACTATGCAGTGCACCTACAATATGTAACAAGAACCAAGTCAATTGTGTTTTTTAGTATAAATTAATCATTTTTTTATTACACTTTTAGATGTAAAATTTGGTTAGAGCGATGTCAACTGCCAGCTGACATTCTACATCAAAAAAGTATTAAATTATGTGGAAAACATTTTGAAAAAAATATGTTTCTTAATTTTTTGGAGAACAGGTTAAAACCAGATGCTATACCTACACTATTTCCAGGTACGTAAGAACTAATATGACATTTAGCAGCAGTAATTTTCTAATCGCCTTTTATTTTTTATTTATATTCAGATGAAAGAGATGGTTGTTATGTTAGTACATCTTTGGAGTTATCATCTAGTGACAAAAGCGGAATCTGTATCACTTTAACTAAAAATGCGTCTTGTGGCTCAAATAGTCCATTAAAAATAATTGATGATAAGGGTAAATATACTACTGAAACGTGTAGTAGCAATGAAGTATTGGCTCTTCCATTACCTGGTTCACCTGGTAAGTTAATGTGATTTATGTAGAGATTCATTTATAATTATTAATATTATATTTTTAAATTTTGTTTAGAAGTACATGATAGCATCGATTACAGTATTTCTTCTGGGACATCGTCAACATTTTCAAGTGAAAGATCTAGATGTTTAGATTCTCCTTTAGATTTCATAAGTCCTAGTAAGATTTAATCAAACAATTTACTAAACTTTATATTTATACTTTACTGTGTGCTTATTCAAATTTTATAAATATGATTTAGGTTCTTCAAAAGGTTGTCAAACTCTTAAAGCTTGGTCTGAAAAAACACCTAGAAAAGTTTTGTTACGGCAACAATTGAAGATTGAGAAAGAAGCTCGTCTTAAAGCTGAAAAAACAATTCTGGGCTTGAGCAATCAGTTAACTGAATTTAATACTGTTGACAACTTTCTCTCACTGTGTGAACAACATTTGTCACCCAGTGTACTGACTATTGTGAAATCGCAAATGATGTGCAAAACAAGAAACCCTCATGGATACAGGTACACAAACGATATGAAACAACTAGCATTAACAATCTACTTCTTAGGCCCATCTGTATATAGGTTTTTGAAAAGTACACTAAGTCTACCTTCAGTTAGAACTTTAAGAAGAGTTACTTCAAAATATGAATTAATTCCTGGGTTAAATGATTTTTTATTTGAATTTATTAAATTCAAAATTTCAAATTTTAAAACTGAGGCCCTTGACTGCATTTTATGTGCTGATGAAATGTCATTAAAAACTCATTTATATTATTCACTTCCTAAAGATGAAATTATAGGATTTCATCAGACAAATCTCACTAAAACTTATGAGGCAGCCAAGTACGCATTAGTTTTAATGATAAGGGGAATTAATGTATCGTGGAAACAGCCAGTAGCATACTTTTTTGTGTCCGGAAGCTGCCGTAGCCTAGATTTAAGTGATATTATAATGTCTACCATAAAAAAATTGTTAAATATTTCTTTAAATGTTAGAGCATTTGTCACTGACCAAGGCTCAAATTTTGTTAGCTTCAGCAAAAGTGTTTATGTTAGCCCACAGCGTCCTTATTTTACAGTTAACGGTAAAGAGATTGTGTATTTGTTTGATCCGCCACATTTGTTAAAGTCAACACGTAACATGTTTTTCAAACATCATTTTAGTATTGATGATGAACTTACTGATAACAAATATATTATACAATTTTATAATGAGGATAGCAAACTTAATTTAAGATTAGCACCTAAGCTTACTCATGCTCACATAAATCCAGGACCATTTGAAAAAATGCGAGTCTATTTGGCAGCCCAAATTTTTAGTGAATCAGTAGCTGCTGGAATGAACACTCACTTAGAATTGGGTAAATTACCGTTGGAATCAAAATGTACAATTGATGTTATTGATAAAATGGATAAACTATTTGACATTTTTAATTCGAGTAAAGTCCCAAATAGTAAATCCTTTAGAAGACCTTTTAAAAATACTTCGATTCAAATAGAACATCTTTCTATGATGCTTTTGTTTTTTAAAAAAATAAAAGTTATTACTAAGATAAACTGTACAGACGTGACTAGTAAGATGAATTTTATAAACGGTTGGCTGATATCCATTAATGGATTGTTGAAGTTGTGGGTTTCATTACATGAATCAACTACACACCCTAGTGATTATGTGTTATATACCAACCGTTTAAACCAAGATATCTTAGAAAATTTATTCGGTATGTTTCGCAATAAGAATGGAAACAATCGAAATCCCACCCCTGTACAATTTTACATGGCTTTTCGGAATTTATTTTGTTTAAACTATTTTCAACATTCACCAAATGCTAACTGTATTAAAGACCTTGATGACATTTTGTGTCATATGAATCCTCAGGAATTTGGGTCTACCAATGTTATGTTGCCAGAACCTTCATTAAGTGGTACATATTTTAATTTCAAAATTGGTACTGTTGACTATAGATTCTTAAATTTACCTGAAAAAAATGCCTTACATTATGTTTGTGGTTATCTGTATAGCAAGTGTTTAAGTCAACATACCTGTGATTTATGTGTAGAGTATGGTAGGTACCAAAACAATTTAGACCAAGCATTTTTACTATGCTATTTTAAAGCATATACTAATACTGCACAGACAACTTATGGTAACCTTCAGATGCCCAATAATGATTTTTACCAATTTATTTTTGAACTTGAAAATATATTTATTCAACGATTTCCTTTGCTTGCCGTTGCTAAAGGAGTAGCTTCTAATTTAAATGAATTTTTATGTAATGTACCTTTTAAGCACCCATGTCCACATTTTGATTATGTTTATTTAATTAAGTTATTTGTAAGATTTAGAATATTTTCCTCTGTTAAATATCTAAATAGAGATTTAGTTTCAGAACGTCAGTTTAAAAATAGAAAACTAACAATACTAAAACACTTATAATTAATGATGATATAATGTCAATGTAATATTCATCATATTATTCTAGAAAAATGCTGTTTAATTATTATTTGTTATTGTTTTTTTTTGTTTTTATTTGTACAATTTGACATATAAGTACTTATTTACTAGCCAAATTTTTAATAATTTAAAAAATGTGTTAATTTTATTAAAAAAAAAAAAATGTAAAAATCATAAATAAAAAAATGTCTTAGTCTAATTTAAGATTACATGTTGTCTAATATTTTAAAAATAATGACTTATTTGATGTTAAAATTTTACAGGGATTTTAGATACCACGATAGGGAAAATACTTGAAAATAGTACATAGATGCAAATTACAATTGACAGTGTCAAAATATACAAGATAGAAATCCATCTAAGACACTGCCCATCTGTGGCAGTGAAGTGATCTCATTAGTATCATTTAATTATTTTAACATGGCAGATATTATATTGGTCAAATATATTAATTTATGTTTTATTTTTCAGAAATATTGCAGTCTGCTTCTGCTTCTCCGGCTTCGCTTTATTCCATGCAAGTGGGATTAACTACTCTTATTTTTGCTCTACATGCCATTTTATTCCTGCAATAACCTACCCTTTTTATATTTTTCTTTCTTAATCTATTCTCTTATTTTTAATCCATATTCTTACTGTATCTCTCTCCACTATTCAAACTTGCCTTCAAACAATTGTGATCTATTAGTTTTCATAACTACATAAGTTGCATTTTAGCTTTTAATAAATACAATATATATTTGATTTCATAAAACGTGTATTTTTTTCCACTATGTATTTAATGTGAATACCTACTCAATCATATATTTGATTTATACTAATCTTATGCAGTTGCTAATTATTAAATTAAGCATTTTAAGTAATTAGTAAGTAATTTGAAAAAAACTAGTTCTATACAGTTCTCTAGATCTATACATTTTTGGAAAAAAATTGTATTTAACATTTTGTTTTTCTGATATGGTTACACTGTTTAGCCAACGGGAAGATGGCCGCCACGTTTTTGAGTATTGGGTATCTTTACCATGTTAATTTTTATCAGTGTCCAGGCCCTGGCCATATATTATGAAACTGGTATAAACGTCGTGCAGCCACTGGAAAACAGCGCGCTCTGGTAGTTAATAGCTTAAGTTGTTACAGGATACAAATATTTGAATGAAATAGGTATTACGAAGAAAAACTAGCATTTATGTATCATTATTTATCCATACTTTACATTTTACTTCACTATCAATAAATTTTATCTTTTTATATCAATATAATCAGTCAATGGGCCTTTGCAAGTTGCAACTGCTATAAATACATAAAATAATATACTAGTCACTAGATAGTAGATACCTACCTACCAAAATTCTAAACTCAAATTTTAGAATTCACAACTTTCATTTTATTTTCAAGTACCCATTTTTGTTTCATAATGACTGAAAATAAAAATTCTCATCAAATTTGTTGTGTGGTTAACTGCAATGATACATACAAGAATACTAATAATACTATATTTTACAACTTTCCTGATCGATCGTACCAAAAGGATTTGAAGTTTAAATGGATAAAGGATGTTAACAGACTTGAGTAATTACCTATTTTTAGTTAGTTAAATTACATTCTAGTTAATAGTAAAAGCATAGTTAAATTACTTATGTTAAATATTTTAAAATTATATTTCCTTAAAATTCTTAGTAACAAAAATATAATATACCTAGAAAGGGGTACCTAATATTAACAAATTGATTTTAATTTACCACTTTTTAATAGCTTTTTTCTATGGAATGTTATAAGCATTTTAATGTAATACACTTACTTTAATTTACTTATTAGTTATTATTTTAAGATTTTATTGAATTTAGTGACAATGGGAAATTGTGGTTGCCTAATCCTCGCAGTGTGATATGTAGTAAGCATTTTGTTGGAAACAAGCGTTCAAATGATCCTAGAAGTCCTTCTTATGTAGGTACCTTCACTATTCCCTAAAGTGTACAAGAAGAAACTAACTGGTTCAAACCAAGCGCATGAAAGGTACAAACGGACTTTAAGCAGAAAGATTGGAACTACAACTATAACAGAAAAAATAGAACTGATACTGAAAATTGTTTTTTGGTAGAAAAGAACTGTGCTTCACAGTTTGCAAGTGTTGGCACTCAAGTGGGTTTTGACAACTGTGGCAATAACAACTTTATTTTTTCTTGTATTCATGAAGGTAATAACGCTTCCACACAAGCTTGTATTCCATTTTCATTTTTAAACCATTTGAATAATGGAAGTAAGCCAACACCTTCTGACAAAGCTTGTGGTGTAGACCACAGAAAAAGTTTATCTTGCTTGTCGTGTGAAGCATTTCACGGTTTTGAATCCATTAAAAATGAAAAATCTCTTAAAGACATTACTGGCACTTCTTTTTCAGTTTTTAATATTTTGCTCAAGTTAATGCCTAATGTCAATCGTTTGGTGGTCTTTAATGAAAATGCTTTATTAATATTTTTAATGAAATTGAAATTAGGTTTAACTTATTCCTCTTTGGCTGTATTTTTTGGAGTACACCAAACAACAATATCTAGAATATTTACTGATACCCTTCATACATTAAGCGTAAAAACAAAAAATTGAATATTCTGGCCTAATAAGAGAACTATTTCAGCTTTGCTTCCTGAAGCATTTAAGAAAAACCATCCGAACTGTAGATGCATAATTGATTGCACAGAGTTAAAAGTAGTACAACCTGATACTGTAGAACAGAGAGTTTACATGTATTCAAGGTACAAAGGGTCTTATACTGTTAAATTTTTAGTAGCCATAACACCTAATGGTATGATTAGTTTTGTGTCAAAAGTTATGGTGGTCGGTCTAGTGACTCATTTACAAATAGGAACAAATGGACGTAGCCGTTTGGACGTGAGGACAATTGGACGTAAAAAAATATATTGAAAAATCAATAGTTTTGGTTTATTTATAGATGTTTATAAATTATAAAACCATTGATATTATATGTTCATAATATAACTAATAGTATCGTATCATATCTAACCTTATCGCAGGTATTACCTATAGATTGAATTTTATCGTTTTGGCAATAGGTATTAAGTGTCTATAATAACAATATAATATATAACTTATGGTTATTGGTTAATACAACCGTTTATCACAATTTATCGAAACACGGCGATACACGATAATACACGATTATAATGTATCACGATGTTAGTCGTGTACAAGTGTACATAGGTATACATGTAAAATGTCGTTAATTAACTCAAATCGCGATGGTGAAGTTTTTGTGGATGACGGTTTCATGTTCTTATTTGACGCTTTTAGCTCTGACGGTTCAAAACGGTTTTGGCGATGTAGATATAAAAGAGAATGTAAAGCTCGTGTGCATACTGGTAAAACAGACTTAATTATTCTTAAGCGTAAAACACTCATACTCGTGACTCTGATGCTGCTAAAGTTGAAGCAAATATCGCAGTGTGCAATATTAAAAAACGTGCTAGAGAAACTATGGAACCAACGTCTACAGTGATAAACGAATGCATTTCTGGATTATCAGAAGCATCTAAGGTACTTATTAGAAACTGCCCTATTTTTTTTTAATTTTAGTTTCTGAGTTTAATTTTTTTATAACTACCTATATAGGGAGCCCTTCAACGTGGTTCAGCATTAAAAAAAAAACAGTTCGAAGAAAACGAAATGAAATACACGCAGCACCAAATGCACCGAATGATTTGATAACACTAGAGATACCAGATACATACAAAGTTTACTCACCGTCTGAAGGTGTATGGGAAAATTATTTATTAGACGATAGCGGACCTAGTGAAAATAGAATTTTAATTTTTGGAAGGCCTAGAAGTTTAGAAATATTACATTTTTCAAAAGTTTGGTATTGCGATGGGACATTTAAAGTAGCACCAACAATTTTTGCACAAGTTTACATTATTCTGGCTGAAGCACTAAATGGTGTCCATCCATTAATTTATGCACTATTACCGAATAAGCAGGAAAAAACATACGATAAATTATTTGATATGTTAAATTTATTAAAACCTGGTTTAAATCCAAGATCCGTGTCATGTGATTTTGAATTGTCAGTAATTAATACCATAAAAAAAAAATACCCTGACGCTGAAATTCACGGTTGTTTGTATCATCTAACAAAAAACTTTCATAAAAAATTAACGAAATGGGTTTTGCTTCAAGGTATAAAAATGATGCTGATTTTTCATTATTTATAAAAATGGTCGTAGCTCTTTCATTTGTTCCAATTGAAGACCTAGATGCCGCTATACAACAATTAGGAGATGATTTACCAGAATGCTTACAACCTTTACTTGACTGGTTTGAGGACAATTATGTTGGGAGGGTTAATAGAAACGGACGAGGTCGTCGGACAGCATTATTCCCACCACACATTTGGAATTTACACCTACGAGTTTTGAATGGTCAAGATAGAACTAACAACCATGCTGAAGCCGCTAATAGACGACTAAATGTCGAAATGGGAGTTCAACATCCTAGTTTATGGTCTTTTATCAACTGCTTACGAAAAGTACAAGCTGGGCGAGATGAATTTTACAGCCAACTTGAAGCAGGTAAGAGTCCCCCCCAAAAAATTAAAGAAATTTATTGATACGGATAAACGTATTTTAAGAATTGTTCAAAGTTATGAAACTAGAACTAAAATATCATTTTTACGCGGAATCGCTCAAAATATTTCTCTGCATTAATATAAAATGTTAATCAGTTTTTTAATATTTTAACACAAGAAAATATAATTACTATAAATAACTATGTTTGACGTTCAACAATTTTTTAGATATTTTATATACATTTTTGACGTATTATAATAATTAGCAGATATAAATAATAATAATTATTTTAATTGCTGGTGTATATTTAAACATTTTGTATTCATTTTTGACGTATTATAATAAATCTAAATAACTTTTTTTTATATAAATAACCTTTTTTTAATAATTTTTTTTTTGACGTCCAAACGGCTACGTCCATTTGTCATAGATCTCTCATTTATAACCAATGATAGTGGATTTTTAGCTCTTTTAGAATCTGGTGATGAAGTTCTTGCCGACAAAGGATTCCCAGGAATAAAAACCACAGATGAAAATGTTGTTATTGTAATGCCTCCATTTTTACACAATGGTAGGTTTTCAGAAGATGAAATTCTAGAAACCTATAATATAGCAAGTGTAAGAATACATATAGAACGGTTGTTTGCTAGGTTGAAGCCGTTTGGCATACTTAATAAATTAACTATCGATTACTTACCATTTATTGATAACATTGTTCATATGTGTTGTGTTTTGACAAACATGCAAGCACCTATTATTAAGCAATAATTTGTTAAATCATTTTATACATTTATAGTTGCATAAAGGTAGTAGTGAAGACATTACTACCTAGTATATTTAGATTTAAGATGATAAATAAGTTACTTACATATTTCACTAAAACTTTTAGAACATTTTTGTTCTACTTACATATTTCAGTATGATTAATATTTAAACTTGTATGTTATTTATTGACACATATAGTAATATTTGTTATATAATATTTTATACCTAGTTAGATACAACAAATTGGTAAATAAAATGAATAATAAAAATTTTCTAATTTTGGTATTGTATCTGTTAAAAACTATTCATCCTTTTTAATCAACAATAATTCTGGTTAAATATTGTTGTAAATAAAAAAATCACATTCATTTAACCCTGTAGTGAACATTAATATCTAGCATTGTGTGTAGTATATTTGACTTTTTTTCAGACTAACTTTTCCATCAATCATTTTTATATAGCTTAAATTAGGTATATTAGTAGTAGGATAAATAATGTCTTTATCTTTAAATGAAATTGGACACTTAATTTCTAGAACTTTTTGTGGTGTACCATCAACTATTACTATACCATCTGGTGCAGCGCAAATCCATGGTTTCTTTATATGAATGACTAGTCCACATTTTATTACCAATAAGTTAACCATCTTGGAATAGACTTCAAAAGCTATATTTTAAGTTTTAAGTCCATAAGTTACATTTACTGTAGCTTTTCCTGTTAATTTTTTGTTACTATATAAACTTTTTGCTAGAGCCAGTTTTTTTTCATCAAAGTGTCAATACAATCAACAATCAAATTTCAAGCTCGAGTTCTCCGCCGCAAAAAGCCAGCTCTTGTCCCTGAAAGGCGGCCTGAAGCCCGGGTACAGCGTCGGGTTCGGCATTGGAGCGGATGCCCCCAGGATTTCATCGACGGCCACAGCGATGTACCTTGGCGTACTACTTAACCCAGGCAGAGTTACTGGGATCATGTCGTCTCCGTTTGCCAGAAATCGAAACCCATGTACAATCGGCTCAGGTCCCTCTACTCGGCGAACTGGGGAATGGGTAAAATTGCTGCCAGGATAATATATAGAGGCGTTTTCCTGCCAAGGATCACCTACGCGGCCGAGATCTGGTCCGAGGGCACGAAGCTATTAAAAAGCCAGAAAAAGCTACTCTCCGCGCAAAGGACCCCACTGCTGGCTATCACGAGCGCATACGCAACGTCGTCCACAAACTGCCTGGCTACAGTGGCGGGCACACTACCCCTTGATCTGGAGATACGATTTCAGGCCCTGAAACGAGCCCAATCTAGGCTTAGGATATCAGTGGAAGCCTTTACAGATAGGACCGATGAATTAATGACGGAATGGCAGACCAGATATGAGTCTACTGAGAAGGCTGTTGGACTCAGAAGATGATTCCATCGGTAAAGTTTAGGTGCAAAATACCGATGAATCTGGACCACTGGACCACCCAGTTTCTAACCAGCCACGGGGACTTCAGAGCTAAGCTCCATAGCTTTACGTAGGTTCCGGACCCCATATGTGCATGCGACCGGATGCCTGAAACCGTCAAGCATGTTTTGATGTTCTGCCCCAGAACCTTGGTCGCCCGGAAAAAGCTCAAACGAGTCCTGAGACAAGAAGGTGTCAGATGGCCACCAGAGGATGGCGCATTCCTCAAAAGTAAGAAGACTTGTGAAGCACTTGCAACTTTTGCAAGAGAGGCTCTGACGAACCGATCGGACCGATGAAGCATAAGGACAATTGACCTTATGGGCCAGAACGCCGCCCCGTCAACAGACAGAAGGCACAGTCTCGGGGTGTTCCCGATGAGCACGTAAGGCGCAAGCGGCAGAAACGGGGGAACACGCTCGAGCGCGTTCTGGCCCGGGACGTGCTCATACGTCAGGGACGAGGAGTTAGGCCCTGAGGGGGGGCATTGGAGAATTCTACCTCAGTATTCCCTGCTTGTCGTACGAGGCGACTATAAGGGAACTGGCCAGACGGGGTCGGCGCCAGGGGCGCGGACGCACCGAAACCTTCGGGGACTAGGGCGTTGAGAGGTTCTGACCGCGACCTCGTGAAGAGCGGGTCGGTCACTGGGCTTAGCCACCTGGTGACGCCTCTGGGATGCGGAGTTGGGCCCACCGTGAGCCCGTGGTACACGGCCCGAATCTCGGTAGGACCATAAGCTGAGGTTAGCCGCCAACGAAGCTTCGTCCGAGCATCCCACCAATGATGTGCTTCACCTAACGGGGAGCGAGAATGGTGCTTCGGGATGTGAGGGGGCCCCTCGGTGTTGAGAGATTAACACCGAGCCCTCACACGTCAACCGCGCGTGGACACTGCGCGTGGGTCGACGGCGGTTTGGTTTCGGAGTGGCAGTTTGCAGGAGCATACTATGTGGTGATAGGCCGCACGTTTGGCCAGGGGAAGGCGGCCGAGTGACGGGACCGGGTGGACTCGTACGATGACAGCCGGCCGAGAAAGCACGGCCCCTCCTTAGCGCACACCCAGCTTATCGTTGGAGCTATATGCAGCGAAGGTTGTCCGTGACCAAAAACGGAAAGCAACGTGGATAGATTGCGGCCCCACCAAGGTGGCGAAAGGCACCTGTATGCCCTAGCCGGATGGTACGGGCGCGCCGGTGAATTCCTCCGTGCGCGTCCGGTGCTCGTGGTCCTTAGACGACGTGCGGTCGTCAGTCTCCGGCGGTCCTCTGGCCATGCAACAGTGTGGGGAGAGTCCGTCGGTTGGCGGTCGTATGCCTCTACGGCCCTTGACTAGCACCTAGTGCTAATATAAGGTCCGTAGTTGTAGTCGGATGAGTTGCCGCAAGGCTTGTCGGATGACGTCAAACCCGGGAGCTTCGTCAATCGTTCAGTAAAAGTGAGACCGAATATTTTAACGTCGGCGATTGAATACATGCAGATTTATGTGGACCGATGCAGAGGGACTCTATCGGTATGTCAAAATATTTTTTACTATTTAGAGATGACTACTCACGTTACAGAACGGTATATTTTATTAAAAATAAATATGAAGTAAAAATATTATGGAGACATTTATAAAAGTGTTAAAACAGAAACAGGATCTAAGGTCAAAATTTTAGGGACAGATAATGGGTTAGAATTTGTAAACAAAGATATTACAGGTATTCTACAGAAATATGGCATACGACACCAAACTACGGTAGCATATAAGCCGGAACAGAACGGGAAAGTCGAGCGTGATAACAGAACAATCGTAGAAGCTGCCAGGACAATGATATGTGCGAAAAATCTTGGCGTGTCATTATGGGCAGAAGCTGTGAACACAGCGGTTTATACACTTAATCTAACCGGAACGAGTTCGCAGATTGGTAAGCCACCTTACGAGTTATATTATAAAGTCGTGCCAGATATTAAACATTTACGAGTTTTTGGTACTGCGGTATACACACATACCAAAGCAAAAACGTCAGAAATGGGATCCAAAAAGTGAAAAAGGAATATTTGTTTGCTATTCGAACAGCACGAAAGGTTATCGTGTATGGTATTCGAAAACAAATAAAATATCCGTGTGCAGAGACATTATTTTCTAAGACGAATGTAATAATTATGAAAATGTAATTGCAGACATATTAGAGTTTACAGACACTCAAATTAATTCAACGGGCGTGCGTGAGAAGGACGAAAACATAGTCGATGATAGAAATGTTATGGTTCTACGTGACAGGAATACACTTAAGAAGCCGGACAGGTACAATGTTCAGACTTTTATTGCTAACTGTGTCAGTCCATTGAATTATGATGAGGCAATTACTGGGTCAAGCAAAAATGAATCTAATAATGCTATGAACGACGAAATTAATTCATTATACGAAAATCAGACTTGGACTCTAGTCGATTTGCCACAGGATAAAGTTGCATTACGAAATGCATGGGTATTCAAAACCAAATATAAAACTATAGATAAATTTAAGGCCAGATTGGTTATTAAGGGTTGTTCACAGAAATATGGTATAGATTACCATGAAACATTTTCGCCAGTGGTCAGATACGAATCAACAAGGGCTTGTAACTCAATATTACAAATAATTACAAATGGTGGATACATATTCGTCAATTTGAATTTGACTACTATTATATTTATTAATTAATTTTTCCAACTTTTCGGGTTTTTTTTTGGTTTTAGAGTTTTGGAATTTAAACGGTCCATTTATACTATTTAGTTTAATGTATACTTCTATTTGAATTTCTTTTAACTTTTTTATGAACATGAAAATATTTGGATGAGTTGTATAAAAACTGGAATTAAAGTGGGAATGAAAAGACTCGCATGCTTTTGTGGTTAAAGTTGGCTCTGCTGATGCTTGAGCCCATACTTCAGGTGGATACTGAGCTTCTCCACTTATATAAACGTCTACCAAATAATCCGCAAATCGTGTCACCCTTTCGTCGTCAGGCTTTGATTTCATTAAATAATTGACAAAATACTCAGATACACTTCCTGAACTTAGAAATGGTCAACCGTAACAATGCACTAACCACCTTCTAATATCACTATTTTTATCTTTATAGTCATTACTTAAACCATTTTGTTGGATACTTCTATTCCAAGACTGTGCTAAATGAAAGCGACATCCGTGTATCTTTATCTGAGGCCAAACAGTATTACATGCCAAATTAATAGCTTTTTCGAAATCTATTACAACATCGGATGGTGATATAATAATATTATTTTGGAAACTATATTCACAAATAGATTTTAAGCAATTAGTATATGATATTGTACTTTTATCGGAGAGTAAACATATGGCGAGTGGTATGTAATAGCCGTTGATAAAACCATGTATTGTAAACATTTGTGTGAAGTATTTAGGGCAGTATGAAAATGTACCATCCATGTACAACCATTCTGATTGTGCAAGAGCTTTTAAATTAGAAATGCAACTGAAAACAATATATTTCAACTCCTTGTTGTTTATTAATAAAAATAATTCATCTCTATTTATTTGAACACTGCGTTCATCAAGAAGTAATTGGATTTCTTCAATTGATTTAGGGAATGGAGGCAATATCTTTCTTCTAGCATTATATATGTTTCTTTTAATATTACGTACATCACTTACTTGTAACTGTTCCGTTGGTATATTTTTAATACCATTACAAAATATTTTACTAGGTTTAGTGGATATATGTTCAGTCGCCTTGCGTTTTACGATACCAGTCACGAATTGTTTTTGAAGGTTTTGATCACTTAATGATTCGTGGTTATGGTTTAAACTTTGTTCAGTGATTCTGTCGTCATCACCTACCTTTTTTAAAAATTCTCTACAAGTTTTGACCGTACATCGCCACTTAACCTCACCCGAACTTAGAGGCCGATTAATTTTACGAAACTTAAAATTAGAAATAATTTTCAAACATTTTTCGCGCTGCGACATGAATTGATCGGCCATCGTGACTTTACTGATTAAAATGAATACGATAGGTACTAGCAGAACTATGTAGTGATAACCATCAATTGTCGTATTACTGCAATATAGATATTCGATAACGTGATGGTATTTCTTGACGAAAATAAAATGTCTGTGATATACTTGAAAAAGTACACAATCGTCAAACATAGAGACTTTGATAAGTGAAAATTTAATAAGTTAATTAGTCGGGCGCAGTTTACATTATATCTTTTTAACATAGATAACATTTCGGGCGCAGTTTACACTATACCTTTTCAACTAAGATAAAAATTCGGGCGCAGTTTACAAAAAAAGAGGTAATTTGGGCGCAGTTTACGTATGCCCATTCGTTTTATTGTGTTAATTATTTGTAACTGTATATTTTTGGTAAATGTTTGAAGTAAACTCTAAATGTTAATGGTAGTAGTACATAATGTATGTTGCATGTTTATGATGATGTGGTACTAGTATACTGAGTAACTTGTTTATTATTTTATAAATATACTTAAAATGTATTACTTCAGGTCTTGAATGAAAGTATACACTGGCTGGACGAATGGGAGGCCAATCTAGAAAAAGGTATTATTAATGAAAAAGAATTTCTAACTAAAAACACCTCTGAATCTTTGCGGATAACGTTAAAGTCAAGTATTGATTTAGTACATTATTTATTAGAAGAATGTGGTTTTTGTTATGTTTTGACGTCAAAGCTAAACCAAGATTCTTTAGAAGTAAGCAAAGTATAAATTGGAGAATCCTCAGTTTTCGACTGTTTATGTCATTAACATACCCATAATTAATATATTATTTATTCATTTAGAAATTTTTTGGAATCATCAGACAAAGTTCTGGTCCAAATGATCATCCGTCTACTCCTACATTCCTCCAACTCTATAGACTATTATCAATGTATTCATTGGTTAAACCACCAAAAAGCGGAAATTGCACAGTTTTTGCAGGTATGAAAGAAATATCCTAAAAAAATGAACAGCTTACAATTAAAAAAAAACAAAACATGTTTAAATATTTAGATACTGACTATGCTCCAGTTATAAGTATATCTGATTTGAAAAATTTGATGCAAGTAAATAGTCAGGTATCTATAAGAAAAGAGAAAATTCTCAAATTAAGAAATCACATTGATGAAATAGTGGAGGAAGGAAGATGGGACATGGATGATGTTTTTAAAAATAATGATTTCTCGGATGTTGTAACATTTGACTGTGTTGTATACTATTTAGCTGGGTAAATAAGTAACCATCATTTTAATAAAATTAATAAATAACCTTTAAATGTATTTGTTTTTGATTTACAAGATATCTAGGTTAAGCAAGAAAACTAAATGCGAGTTATGTTTGTCAGGCATAAAAACTGACGGTAAAGAAATTGATTTACCTGCTGCTCAACTTGTCAACCTGAAGACTCTTGGTTTTTTAACATACCCGGATAACAACTTTTACATTTTAATAAAACAAATTGAACTTTCATTTTCTATCCATGCAGCAAGCAAAAATGTTTTTGAAGATACGGTTGAACATTTCTTTAAAAATAATTATATTATTCCATTCCCTTATAGTGAACATAAAGAAGACGTTCTGCAATATATTTTTTCATCGTATTTAGTAATGAGGATGAGACAGTTCAGTTACCAAACAAATAAACAAAAACAACCTAGTAATAGAGTTAAAAAGAAATTGTAAAAATTGGTATCAAATTAAAGATGCAATATTTAATTTTAATTCATGTAATATAATAATTAAACAACTTGTTCAAATTTAAAAATGTTTATTATGTTTCAGTTTTCTGCACGAATTAAGATATGTTAATTCAAGGTCGTCTGAGATCGAATTATTACACGATTTAATTTATTAATTATTAATTAATTAATATATTAATTCGTGATACTTCTGATATCTTAATAATTATGATATCTATGAATATTAGTTCGAATATGTACCACGAAAGCGCTGTGTGTTATGCCATAGTCTAAGAAGGTAGGTATGTCTTCAACTGATAATCGCCCGTTCCGTATCCAGTATATCTTAATTCGTGGTTAAAACCAATACTTTTTTTTTAAATGAAACTGAAACAACTTACCCTTGTAACAACTATCTCCTTCTGTTAACACAACAAAATATAATAATACAACTCTAACTTAAATTGTGAAACAAAATAATATTACAAAATGTATTGTTTGTTTTTTAACAACAAATTTAGGTAGTTTTAAAATAAAAAAACTAAAATCATAATAATATTAATATCAGTCTGTACCTATACTGTTAACACAACAAAATAAAATATGCAAATTAAAATAGTAATAAAATAATTTAATGACGTGTGCATTGTAAAAAAAAATAATATTAAAATTATTACATTTCTAAATTATTAGAGATTTATAAAAATCTTGGTACATAGATGAAATGAGTCCTTTATTGTACAATGATAACAAGTCTTGTGCTCAATGGGAATTTTTGCGTTACATGCTTTTACCGGTGTATATAGGTGTGCGTGGTTGATGTCTTCCCACGTTTCTTTTAAATAATTTATCAATGATGACAACACCTGTATGTTCTGAAGCGGTTCTCAACAACATGATGGACCTCTCATGATAGGTTAGTGATTGTTATAAATGAAAAATATTCTGTATTATTGGAAACACTGGAAGAAATTTCTGATAAGAATAATTCTGACCGTGAAACTGCTTCAACTGCTGAGAATCTAATTAGCAAAATAACATAATTTCAATTTATTTTGATGATGTTATTTTTTGGAAAAATATTTGCCGTTACTACTGAAGTGTCTAAATATAGTGTCTACAATCAAATGAAATTGATTTTGTACAGGCAATTAATTTGATTGATGTTGCGAAAAACCGGTTAGTAGAGATGAGATCAGAACAAGGCTGTAAAGATTTAGTTAACCAAACAAAATTGTTTTCAATGAAAAATAATCGAACAGAAAAGGATTTTTCTCAGGTAAGACTGAGGAGAAAAAAAATTATGCCTGGATAACAAGCAAGAGATGAGCTTTTATCTAACCAGGAAGATAATTTTCGGACTGGTGTTTTTTATAGGATTTTGGATACAATTATTTCATCGATTGAAAATAGATTTGCCTAGTCTCGAAATATACTTAAAGATTTTACTTTACTTTCCCCTGAACGTTTAAAATGTATTAAAAATGAAAATGATTTACCCAATGATGTTTTTAAATCCATTTCAAACTGGATTTCAATTGACCTCACTCAACTTAAAACTTAATGTGTTACGTTTAGTAAAAGCTTAGATAAATTGCTGAATGGTATGAATATAAACATGCAGTATCAAAACTATGACAAACAGACAACTGATTTTGATTCAGAGAATGATAATGAAATAAGTGAAAATTATGTTGAAACTTCAGAAAATAAAATAACATGCCTGCAAATTCTTAACATTTTATCTAGCTATGACCTTCAACACGCTTTTCCAAACTTATTTAAGACATACAAAGCACTTGGGACAATACCTGTATCTTCTTCATCTGCAGAAAGAAGCTTTTCAAAGGTAAAATGCTAATTTATTTAATTTTAAAAATTCAACAATTATTTTATTAATAAATTATGTTTTGTATTATTTTAGGTAAAGCTTATTAAAACAAGACTTGGCTCAACCACAAGTCAGTGTCGGATGGAAAGCTTATTTATGTTAAGTATGGAAAGAGATATACCAATAAACAAACAAGAAGTAATTGATAAGTTTGCTGAAACATCATCTTTGTTGAAAAAAAATTTGATGTTTAAATAGCACACTTATTTTGTCGAGTAATTTTGTTATAAAGTTATTTAATGTGCAATAAAGGAGTCCTATTATAAATTTAAATTTTATGTATTTAAAAATAAAATAAAAAGGTACCATAATATTATTTTTTTTACCTATATTAATTGTTTTTGTTTTTTATATGATTTAGCAATTATAATTTAAATGTTTACCTATTTGCTAAAATTCAAAACCACTCTTAAAATAAAATTGTTTTTCATGTTTGATAATGTCTATTTATCATATAATATATAAACTGATTAGGTACTTAATTGGAATAGTATAACTTAGAATTTCCAATAATTGTATTGTAATTGTATGATAAATGATAATTCTCAAATAGGTAACAATTTTTCAAGTCCCAATAAACTTAATCAACTTTTGAAGGGGACAGGCCATAGGCGTTTGAGATTTGTGGTGGAGGGGGCTAACACCCTACTATTAACTTATATACTATTGTAATAATATTGAATAAACTTTTAAAAAATGTAGTAAATATTTGGGGGGCTTAGCCACTAAAGTTCCCCCTCATTCAAGTGGGCCTGACTCCTTAAGTCTCCTCAAAAGATGCGGTTTTTTTTATAGGTGGTGGGTGTGTGCACATTTTGTTGGCCTCATGGGTAAAAAATGTTCACCACTCCACTGATAATGTGACCTGATCGACACCTTCGGCATTGGTCAATGGTGGTCAGCACGCGGTCCTCGCTGGAAATGCGACAGCGTCTTCAGGTATAATATAAGGAAGACAGTTTTGGGTACATCCATTAAACTCTCAACGTGAAAAAAATGACGAAATTTCATATTTTATGAGAGTATACGTCGTTACCCTGAGAAGTTTTTTGAATACTATCGTATGTCCATTACATCATTGGACGAGCTACTAAGTACAGTGCGCCCACATATAAGTAAACAGAACACCAAATTTCGTAAACCTATAAGTGCTGAAACAAGGCTTACTGTGACACTGAGATAAATTAAAATATTATTTAATATCTTACTGTATAATCAAATATAACAAAATTGAATTGACCAAATCTAACTAATTGTACAAAACAGTTTATGTACATTTTGTAAAATGTATAGAATTCAGAACGTAATAATGCATAATATTTATGACGATGTCGAGTTTGATATTTAACAAATAGGTAAATAAAATATTTTTTGTATTATTATGTACCTTCATAGTACAATAGAAATAATAAAAATAAAGTAATAAAAACATAATATTAAAGAAAAAATAAAGTATTATAATAATACTTATTGTACCATCTTGTACTTAACAACACTTATTACATAATTAAAATAAATAATTGTACCACTTGTAGCAAAACATATTTAAAAAAAAATTATTTTCTTATATTATGTAATATTATATTATAGAGTTGAGGGTACGTTTATAATGTCTTGTTGATCTGGATTATTTTATGAAGACCCAATGCAATGCTGATATGGTCGCTGACTGGAAATATTTGGTACAGCCAATTCTGTATCTATAGAATTCTGTACTGGTGAGGCATATGATAAGTGCTGATGTTGAGACATAATACCGGGCACATTTGAAGAATAATTACTAAGATTAGAAATGCTATAGTTTGATGTAGATTGAGGTGATCGAGGATAATATGATGGCTGCGATGTAGACATATTTTCAAGTAAGTGAGATCTAGGTTGATACTGATTATAATTTATAATATAGATTATAAAGTGCTGTACTTTGAGGATAAAATGGCATATTTTGGAGAGAGTTTTCTGTAGTTTCTGGATTGAAATTAGTGTGTGGTACTGAATGCTGCAGAGAAGTGGCTGGTTGGGCTTGAGATGCGTTTTGAAAATATTTAATTGCATAAATACGAAATCTTTTATCGTCATCTAGTTTTTTTAGTTCAGGAAGCAAAAATAATAAAAAAAAAAAGCTTATCAGGATCAGCTGTACTTTGTTGTTCTTCTACAAAGTTTATTAATTTGGTTTGAAAAGGAGTCATTTTGGGTTTATTTTTTTTTGGATTTTTGAATATTTTGAAAAGAACTAGTTGGTTGGAGAAAAATATCTGGAGAAAAATCGTCCATGTTCAAATTTATCTCATCGCCAGTTTCCTTATCAGTAGATTCAATTAGAAAATTGCCTGATGTAATAAAAAATGTAAAACTATTAAATAAAATTTCAATGTATGTATTCAATTCTGAATTAGCGAGTGAGCATATTATTCACTCTGCAGAATCTAAATTTAGATCGTTATTAATTTTTACCTTCTTTTTTCAACTGTTCGTTTTAAGAACGAAAGTATATCAGCATAATATTTTTTTCTTTTTCACTGCACCAGACCCACTTAGTATATTTTTTTCTTGATTTATATACTTTGTATAATTGTCACGTAGTGACGCCATTTTTTGGTTTGCAAATCTTTAGCTGAAATAATTGTCAATATAGGAGCGACATCCACTTATACACCTTTTTTTAAAATGTATTTTGTTTAATCATATTTTGTCTATTTTTAAAATCATTCAATTTATATTTATATATTAAACTTAAACTATTTGTGAAATGTACTCAATTTTTTTTAAGTATTTGTCAACTGGCACATGCTTTAAAGCTTTAAAATTTGATTTCTACATCGGAAAAAGTACAGTTTTTCATCACTTGACAGTTTGCCTATGCATGCTGTAGCCAAATACGATGTGGTTATTATGCTTTCCGTTTTCAAAGAATATGTATTTAAAGGCTGGTCGCGATTTTCTCGTCACAAAATACGTTGGTAATCGTCACTTTCAGTGACCCAAGTTTGTCCGTAAATTTTTTTTATATCTGCAGTAATAGCATACCTGTGCGTTCTAAATCGTGCCATTATAGAAACCAATTCCTCTTGTATGCATGGCCCCTTTAATAACACTTCGTTAAAACTAAGGTTGGTGTCCGTTTTCGCCGATGCGTCGAACATTACACGCAATTTGGTGCTTGTACTGCTATCTTTAAATACGGCATGGTGAGGTAATAGTAATAACACTGGCCCACCGCTGGAACGGAGCCCGTAATCAACATGTGCCCGAGTTCTATGTATTCGTTCATAAACTTAACGTAACCGCTCTTCAGATTTTTATTTGCTTGAAAACGCCTTTCCAATGACATAAATCGGCGCAAACCTCTATCGTACGAATTTCCTAACTTGTGCGCGACTTTAAATGGTAACGCAACAATAAAACGACCATCATCATCTCGTTTAATATTTTTTAAAAAACGCTGTTTACACTCACATTCTTCTATGGTGTATAATTCATTGAACTTTACTTCTTCGAGGCTCCAAAATGCGGCCATTTGCTCTTCAAGTGTTTTTGTTTCAAATTACATGCGGGTGAACAACGATACACTAGTTTCTATACAACAAACAGTCGAATGTGGTACTGGACCGGAAATAATCAATCCTAATTTCGTATTCTGTAAGACTGGCCAGTGAGCCATTGGATGTATTTGCTCTTTATTAATTAAATCAAAAAATATTTCTGCACTGAGTATCATATCTATTGCTTGTGGTGTGCGGAATGCAGGGTCAGCCATTGCTAAACCTGCGGGTATCTTTAAATTAGGCGCCACTATAGGCATTGATGGTAAATTAGTAGTCAATTTAGGTAAAATAAAACAATCCAAATTTGACAAATAATTTGTGATGTGTGATTTAATGGTTGTGTTTACCATAATATGCGACGCAGTATGTGACGATTCGTTGATACCTATTACAGCACACGACGTTCTCTTGCGTTTTAATCGTAAATGCTGCGCTAGAGCATCTGTAATAAAATTATGCTGTAATCCGCTGTCCAATAATACACGACACTGTATTGGTTTGCGATCAACATTATAAACAATTACCGTAGCAGTCGATAGTAAAATTTGACTATTATTGTTTTTACGTAAGAGTACGCACTGACTGATACGGCTGTAGTATTGCTATTTTCGCCTTCCTTCTCGTCGTCGCGGTCAATAACCTCATTAGTGTGCTGTTTGTTTGGCTGGTTTCTCGGAACGCGATAAATATAATAGTCAATTATGCGGGCGAGCACATATTGTACAGCGTCTCGATTGACACATTTCCCCTTCATGCGATCTTAGACATATTTTGCATAGCTTGAGCTCGGTTATTCGTTTTATTCGATCAGCGATCGCTAATCCTAAGAACGACGGACAACGACGGATAAATAATGTGAGCTTGCTTACAAAAATAACATTTAATTTCGCAGGTAGCAGCGAATGCGCTAGATCGCTTCTTTTTGTTCTCATACGTTGCTATGAGATTATTTTCTTGAAGTGAATAAATTTGTTGAGACGTCTCTACCGCCTCTAAAACCCGGAAGCTAGATTGTAGAAAATGCTTAAGGTTTGAAATACTAGAAACTTCTGTTTTTGAGGAGGAGATTTCACACTAACTCATTGTCTTTGTGTCCAGCTTGGATACGACCAAATGCATTAACAATGCTCCCCATTGGCTTGGCCTCTCTCCTAGTGCTTGCTATAATCCATGCATGGCAATAGTAATTTAATTTGGCATTTTTAATGAATATTTGTAAAAAATGAAATAATATACTCAATATTCAAAATGTTGTCCCTAATTTTTAACTTTTGTACTCTTTTCATTCACCATCACCCTACTATCATGTATTCTACATTTCTACTGTCAGTGTACTATCATAATGTGGATGCTTTATCTCGTGATAGGTACTATCACGATAGCGACTCTTGCGTGAGTAACCATCATCGTGTGGACCCGGCTAATTTAAAACGGCAGTATTCGAAACCATTTTACCAGCTAGCGCCGATCTAACGAACATATCCATAACTAGTACACTTCTAGCGCTCATCTAGTGTTTCTATCCAGAACTAACGCCGTGACTGCAGCTATTAGAGCGTAGCGTGAAATGCTGCATTTCCGCCAGTGAGACATTCAGAATTTCAGACTACCTATACCATGTAGAATATAATGGTAATACACATAAATACTCATTTACGATAAGATACCTACAGTTAATTTATATTATAATTAACTATATCTAGAGATTTAAAATTTTCTACTGTTTTTTTATTTCTATAAGTTTTAAATAAATTTTTTTTCGATTAAAAAGTTTGATACTTTGATAAAGGTTCTTGTGTAATTTTAAGTTATCTTACACCAATTGAAACATTCTATTGAAATCTTGTTTTTATAAGCTTGTGAAGTTAAGTAATATTGTGATTAAATTCACCCATTAAAAAAAATTTGAAAATCAATTTGTCAACTAAATTGTAATGCTAAAAGCTTTAATTGTAACTCTGGAGGTTCCAAATAAGTGTTTCTTGCATTAATAAATTCGAACACACATAGTCTATAAAATAGGTACATAGTTTGAAACATTTAATTTCTATAAGCTTGATAACATCAGTTCACAATTCAAAGTAAAATTTTTCCTTTGACGATTTTTGTCATAATCTACTAGAGACTATAAACATTAAATTATTACTAGTATATACTATATCGGTATTTTTTTAATTTTTTTTTAACTGAGCTTGAGCCTCGCAACTTGAGACATTAGATGTTTTTGTTTGTTGGTTGTTTGTAGGTAGTTACTAGGGGGAGGAACGGTTGGAAAGACGTTTTGTATGGGTGGCACGGATTCGTTAATAAAAATCCCGGATGGTCACCTATCCGGGAACTACTAACGCCATTTATTAAACGTCATATCATCACTTATATTAATCCCTACGAATCGTATATAATAATATTATTATATTATGTGTCTTAAGAATATATAAATAGTGAGTTACATTTTCGGAAAAATATGTAGCTTTAATAATTTCCTTGTATAGATATTTCTAATAGACCAATAATTTATTGATGAGGGCACACAACTACACAATTATGCCTCAGTGTGTTTATATATTTCTCTACGAGAACAGAGAAAAGAAAGTTAATTATATTATATAATTGTGATTTCTTATAAGTTCTTTATTCTGTTATATTTCATTCGTTTATGGATACAGAATTTGACTTTGAAACTCAAAAAAATTAAATATTGTTTACCTTTATTTAATTTTAAAAGCGATTTAATAGGTACCTAATTGTATTGTATTATTTTTTTATGTGTATATTTATATAGCAAATTTCGAAATCAATAAAGCTAATTAAATTTTCTGTACAATCTGCATCATAGGTACATTTAATAAAATCAGATATTTAAATTAAACATACATTTTTCAAACGTAAAAAAGAGGGTAAGTGAATGTCGCTCTGCTGTACAGTAGGTTACAAGTGGGCCAATGTATAATGGAGTATATTAAAATTGAATTCAATGATATAATATTATTGTATAAGTCAGTCTGGATATTTTATATTGTTACTATTTATTATAACCTGTAAGTGAAATTTATATTATATAATAATTTTTTATTCTTTTCTATGGTGATAACCAAAGCGTTAGAAATTAAAATCCCATTTTTAGCGGTTTTCGGTAATTTGTCGGTAGATTTTCCCGTGGCATTAAATAACTATTGAGAAAATCGAAAAATGACCTGTTTAAAGTACCATCTTGCTTCAATTTGCTAAAATATTGTATATTGTTAATAATATTGTTAATATTGTACTATTTTTTGAAATCAAATCACTCCTTGTAGAAATTTTGTATGCAGGATAAAAAAAAAAAAAAATAAACACCATGACGCGGCTACGGTAGTGAGACGGTAGGCCGGTCGTTGTCGGTGGTAGTTTTGATGCACTTGGCACAATACGCACAACTTAAGGTAGTCAATAAATAATGGTGAACACCGGTTTATTTATGATGAGGGTGCCGGGTGGCGTTTATTAGAAGTATACAGAATGAACCCGTGGTAAGGTGACAAACAACGGTCTAGTACGAGGAACGTGTTCGACGAATCGCATTTACGAGTGAAGCGGATTGAAAGTGCTGTGTGGCGTTTCGTAAGACGTTATACAAAAAAGAATTAGGTGACCAAAGGTGTTCAACGCGGAACGTGATTCGGCGGAATCGCGTTGGTGCGTTGAAGAAAAACGAAAACGGGTCAAGCCGTGGCGGTGGTCAGAAAACGAGGGAGTTGCCACCGGCCGGTACTCGTCTTACGCGACTTGCCTCCCGTTCCGTCTTGTGCCTTGGCGGCGTGGTGGGAGAGTTGGCGATGTCGCGCTCATAGCCCGTGGTGGCGGTTTGTGAAGTGCAGATAGGTAGCTACGACGCCTGTACTTTGTACTGGTCGTCGGTTGCGTACCATATCAACCATTGTATAACCACTAGGACTTACGTAGTAAATTATCGAATAATTTAGAAGTAGTTGTAGGTACTCTTAACAAATTCAATTACATATCGAAATAATCGACGAGCAAACACATAGTAAAAACTTTTTTTTTTTAATTTCATAATAACTTATTTTAAGATAATTTATAAATTTACTTTTATATTTATTTCAATATTTTAAATAACAAATCTGCACCGAGATACGATGAATTAATTTCTGTAAATGTTTGAATACATTTTTGAATAAAAGTTGCATTGTTTTTAACGCAATATAATATTAATTTGTTAGGTATTTCATGATAACGTTTTTCATTTTGATCCGGATTTTAGATTCAGATTAAATACGATTCGAGTACAAGGGTGTATTTCTGTAGAAGGTCCCATACGCGGCTGAGTCATGGAAGGACGGTGCAAAGCTAGTTAAAAGCTAGAAATTATTTAACAGCGCACAAAGAGCCCCTCTGCTGGCTATCACCAGCGCCTATAAGACGCTAAATTACACAAGTTCAAACTTGTCCAGGACCCCATCTGCGCCTGCGACAGGAAACCGGAGACATTTCTGCCCTTGAACCAAAACAGCTCGGCTGAAGTTAAAAAAAATTCTAGCTGAAGAGGGTGAGAGATGGCCACCCGAAGATAGTTCTTTCCTTAAAACCTAAAGGACAAACGACACCTTGGTCTTCTTCACAAAAGAAGCACTAGCCAACAGGAGCGACCGATAGGCTTCAGGTCTGGACGCCGCCACCGTCTGGAGAAGGAAGGCACAGACTCGGGGTGTACCGAATGAGCACTTATGGCGTAAGCGGTGGTACATGCTCGAGCGAGTCCTAGTCAGGGACGTGCTCATACGTCAGGGACGCGGAGTACGGCCCTAATGCGGGGGCCGTGCAGAATTCCGCATCAGTACTCCCTGCTTGTCGGGGCCGGTGCCCGGGACGTTGATGCACCGAAACCTTTGGGGACTAGGGTGTTTCGAGGTTCTGACCACGTCAGTCACTGGGCTGAGCCACCTGGTGACGCCTCTGGGAGGCTTGGCTTGGGCCCACCGTGAGCCCGTGGTACACGGCAAAAATGTCGGGAGGACCATAAGCTGAGGCAAGTCGCCGTCGAAGCTTCGTCCGAACATCCTACCATTGATGTGCTTTACCTTACGGGAAGCGAGAATGGTGCTTCGGGATGTGAGGGGGCCCTAAGGTGTTGAGAGATTAACACCGAGCCCTCATACGTCGATCGCGGTGGACACTGTCCGCGGTCGACGGCAGTTTGGTTTCAAAGTGGCAGTTGGCAGGCGCATACTATGCGGTAAAAGGCCGTATGCTTGGTCAGGGGAAGGCTGCCGAGTGATGGACCCGCTCTGACTCGTATGGTGACAACCGTCAGAGGAAACGCGGTCTCTCCTTAGATCCCACCCAGCCTATCGTTGGGGCTATATGCAGCGAAGGTTTTCCGTGACCAAAAACGGAAAGCAAAGTGGATAGATTTCGGCCACACCAAGGTGGCGAAAGGTACCTGTATGCCCTAGCCGGATGGTACGGGTGCGCCGGAGAATTCCTCCGTGCGTGCCCGGTGCTCGTGGTCCTTAGACGACTTGCGGCCGCCTGCCCCGTCGACCCTCGGGCCACGTCAGACACGACAGTGATGTGGGGAGGACCGGCGGGCGGCTCCCGTAAACATCCGCTGCTCTTGACTAGCGCTCAGCGCTAACATAAGGTCCGCGGTTGTAGCCGAGAGGCGCAAAACCCGGGAGCTTCGTGTAATCAACAGTTTAGAGTTTTTCTTTTGAATAATATTATACTCGTATGAGTTTACAATATAGACTAGTTTATCAAGGGTTACATGTAGTGGGTTGGAATTGGTGAACATACAACTCACAGTTTTTGTTCCTGTGATTGCCTTCGTTCAAATCGGTCTCCGTATTGGCTCACTCTTGCTGGCGGCGTGCGGATGAATGCGTGGGTTTGTGTGGGCGAACCAAGGTAACTGCTCTGCTGAAATCTGCGGCGTCCCGATATGGTCGTGACCCAAAGTACATGATACGCGTCGTTGTATCCTAGACGTGGCGGCTCTGCTGGGTGTAGCGGCGGCTCTACGGCGAAATACACGTATGCGTTCGGCAGCGGACTCGTGACCGTTGTCTCACTGAGCGAATGGACAAAGGGAGGAACGACCGTATTTCGGATTTCCCTATAGTCGTAACAAGTTACGACAGGAAATTGTAGTCGTTGGTAAAATGTAGCATTTACTTGTCTAACAGTGGGTTGAGCACCGTCCGGCGCGCGGCGTCCGGCTTATGCAATCTAGAGAAAATTGCTGTTTGGTGAGTGTGTCCGTGTCTAATCGGTTTATTACCGTCCGGCTCACAATATTCACCGCACACGGCGGGAAGATTGATGTCTGTATAGCGGCTGGCCTATACTTATGTTATGTTCAGCCGTGATTTAGTAGGCAAAATGGTTGGTCCTGTTTTCGTGAGTCCAGTGATGATTAAAAGTACTTGGAAGTTGGAGATTTATAGTTTGAAAAGTGCTGAATCTGAATCCGAAAACCGTTGGGTTTTATTCCATAGGGTTTATCTGGAAACAGAGTATTCCCGGCGGGCGGCGTCCTTTCTTAGAGTACGCGTTGCTCTGTGTTGCGTGGTGGTTATATACGGTACGCGCTCGGCCTGTGTGTGTCGCGTTATGTGCGGCAGCGATGCGGTACGCTAGTATTGGAACGAGCTACTAGAGTGCGCCACCGTTTTGTCTTGTTACATAGTCCCCTTTTTTATTATACCGATATTTGGAGGTACGATGTATCTTGGGATAACGAAAACTTTGAACGTGTAGATGAGGTGGTGGTTGTAATCTTGGTTAATTATGGTTGATGTTACTTCTTCATTGTTTTTTTTTTTTTTTTTTTTTGATGGAAGAAGTATCTAGGCCAACATTTTTGCTTTTGAAGTTGTCTTGGAGGCTTTCTGTTCGAGTTATGATGAAGCAAGGAAATCCATGACTTATTTTCCCCCTGGATCCGGCGGGAAAGCAAGTTCTGTAAATCTGGTAACAAATAGTCCCCTAGACCTCGGAAAAGTAGGTTTGGTCAATCTGGTACTTAATAGTCCCCTAGATCGTAGTCCCTTGATATTCAAATAGGTGGTGGATTTTGATCTTGCTGTTTTAATGCTGTTGGTCCCCTTGAAAATTGTTGGATTTTCTCGGTTTGAATATTTAATCTATTGATTTTTTCCTCTCCTTTGAGGTTGTCCCCTTGATTTCTATCTTCTCTTACGGTAACACATGGTATTCGGTCGAACTGTTTGACTAATGATTTGTTCTGTTCTGTTAGCATTGGTCTGTTACTTGCAACAGAAGCTCGCAAACTTTCTCATTTTAAACGTCTTCACTTGCCGTTTGCGTGCTCGGTTACTCAAAGCTGGCGCCGGTGGATCTGACACTTCGTCACATTCTATTGCGAACTGTTCTTCTTGGTTTATGATAACTTCTAACTCGGTTTCGCAGTTTAGAGGTGGCAGAACCGCTTTTTCTACCAGTGGTTCCCGAGATAGGACGTCTTGAGAGTCGTTTGGCGGATCGCTTGATTGTTCAGCGGTTCCTTTCATTGGTACCAAATGTATCGTGTCCGGCATAGTGAAATCCGGTTCCAAATTATATTGAGTCTGTTGGGCGGAGCGTCGTCGTTCATACTGAGCTTCTATCTTCAGTTGTTGTGGAGTCTTGGGAGGCTGTTCAAAGGATATGTTTTGGACATGATATTGTCCTGCTTCTATGTTTTTATAGGGGGTTTAGGTGGTTTCATAATATCTACCATGTCTTCTTTAAGATGTTTGGAGCCAAACAATCTTCTATATTTGTCTCTTAATCTTCGTATGAGTTTACTTTTTTCGTGCGGATCTGTTGGCCATTGGTGTGTTATTGTGTTTTGTATCAACCACCTAAAATAACAAAAGTGTTTAACGTTATTTTATTGACACGGGTATTACTGTATTAGACACTGATTCATAGAATGTTTATTGAGTAACTGCTATTCCCGCCTCTCCAGGATCTGGCGAAATATATAATCTGACATTTTTCACATTGTGCGTCTGGTTTTTTCCCGATTCCAACTCCACAGTAACTGTATTATTTCCTTTCACTTCAAGGATAGTATACGGCCCTCGTAGATGTGTATCCCGTAGACTCATGTGTAGTGTTGTTCAGCCAAAACTCGATGGTGCCCAACCATCTTACCCAACTTGAGTGTTTAGCACTCTAAACACTAATATGTTCACAATATGTTCTCAGGATTCTGCCTATTTCCCGGTTCGCTCTTTCCACGGGATTGCATTCCGGGTGATAGGTAGTAGTGTACATGGCCTTTATCCGGATAGAGTGTAATTGCTCTAACCACCGGTCATTACTGAATTGTGTGCTATTATCTGTTAATATCTGTTTAACTGGTCCGTATCTGGGTATATAGTCCTTAATAATTTTTCTTAATATGGTGTTGGTCGTTGCCCTGCGTATTGCATACATTTTGATGTATTTGGAAAAAATATCCATGATGACTAGTATATATTTTGCTCCAAATTGACCTTTGGGCAGTGGCCCCATTAAGTCTAGCGAAACAGTATGTCTGGGTCCTTCCGGTATATTTGATAATGTGGGTCCCCTGGACAACTGAGTGTTAATTTTACTTTTTTGGCATAAATAATCTGGTAAATCGTCTTCATAAAATCGAACAGCCGGTTTTAAACACGAAAATGGGTTATCAACAGCCAAAGACGGCAATATATTCTGTAATGACTTAATAGTATCTTTATAAGATATAAAACGTTGTTTTAGTGAGCAAAGCAAATCATCTAAGTATGGAATAAATATTGTGCGTCTGTAAAATTCTTCAATATCTTTAAAAGGCACATTAATTCGATTTTTTTGTCTAAAACAAATATGTGGCATAGTTTCATTAACATTTAACAAAACTGAAATACTTTTTACTCCCTCATAAATTTCATGAAACTCGACATTTGAATTTTCTCTAATATCTTGAAGTTTCTTGGAGACTTCAGCTAGACTTTCAAATGCGTTTACCTACTAAATCTATATAGTTTGTTAATACTCAGATAAATTGTAAGTAAAACTCAATAATTTATTTGAAACATAGATAGCTACCTACTAAGAAATTATAATTGCAGATTTTCTTCAAAAGACTATGTGCTCGTTTTATTGATTCCTTAATTTTTGAATCATTTTTAATTTGCTCTAAAGCAGAAACTATTGGCTGCAATAATTCTTTAAAAAAGATTATAGCCTCGTGACGCAAAACCCATCTAGTTTCGCACAGTGATTTAAGTTTATGTGTCTGAGCTTTTGGATTAATTTCTAAAACTTTTTCTTTTAAAATGTGGGTTCTTTTTTCGGAGTAGTGAAAAAATGCACAACATTCTGATACAGTTCCAAAAGCATTTCGAATATATTGAGCCTTAGAAGCGTCAGACAAACAAAGATTCAAAGAATTGAATATGCAATGAGTGTATATCGCTTTAGGATATTTTTTCTCAAAATTGCCTGTAAACCATTAAAAGCACTAACCGACATGGTTGCCGCTCCATCATAGCCTTGACCACGCATTTTTTCTAAATTTAAACCAAGGTTTTTCAATGTTTCTAGTAAAGTATTAGCTAAACCTTCTCCTGTTACATCCTTAACAGGAATAAATGCTGAAAAGTTTTCCCGAACTATCATTGATTCTTCATCTAGGTATCATATGCATACTGAAAATTGTTCGATTTGACTAATATAAGTTGCCTCGCCGCGAGAACAGAAAAAAAAACTGGATTTTTATATTTTTTTTAACTATTTCAGATTGAATTAGTTCTCCAAAAAATAGTAATTATTTCATTTTGGATTTGAGGACTTGTATTCAAATCACTCATTTCTAGATGCTCTTTTAAACCTATTTCATCATTATTGGCTCTTAATCATAGGAGACAACCAACATTTCCATTATTCTCAGTAGGTTCATTGATTTCAGTTCGTCCAGAGTCTTTATGCCCTCTTAATGCAATCTGTTGCCTTCCGTACAATCGAATAATCTGAATAATAGGTTTCAAAGATGAACGATTTTTTAAAATGTCATACTTTTTCTTAGTATTTAATTTCACATGTACATTATCCTGTTCCTTTTTATGAATTTTAATTACATTATCGGTATTTAACATAGCACTTTTATGGAAAATTAAGTTGGCATGATTTTTTAAAGATTCTAATGCATCTTTTAATTTAATAAGAGGTTTGGTTACAAGTTTTCCTAGTTCTACGTGAGAACCTTCGCCAACATTTGTTTGATGCAAGAAAAGTACACAATATATACAAAAGGCCCCTTCTTTCAGTTTTGAATAAGACAACCAATTAAATGTGTTAAGCCATTTCAACTGAAAAGTACGTTTAAACTTGCCATTATCTTGAGCTGAAAATTTATAATTTACATCAGGCACCCATAAATTATGTAAAATTTAAATTTTTTCTGTATTGTTTAGAGGTTTTGAACAATTAATATAAACACCAGTATCAAATTTATAATCATACTGTGTCTGTAACTCTAATTTATCAATTTGTTTTTTTTTTCTTCTGAGGATGAAACATTCTGAGTTAGTATATATTCATGTTTTTTCTTCAAAAACTACTATATTCTGTGTTACCTCAATTGTTTAATGATAGAATCACTGCAGTTTGACTAATATAAAAAAATATTTATTTAAATTAATGAATATTTAAAAATTATTTATTTATTTTCATAATCAGAATAAGTGATTTAATATTTATAGGTAAGCATTTATTTTGGACAATATTATAATATTATATAACTCACGATAGCAAAGATTATGATCGTAGATTGACATAAATTTATTAACAAAAACATAAACTTATACTATGTAATGACTAATGAGTAATTACTAATGAGTCTTATGGGTGTGTATATGCGCGCACGCGGGTTCGACCGGTAAATTTATTTCGATTTGCGGTGTGCGAGTAATGTTATATTGATATAAAGTCGACGCGATGCAGTCTTCAAAACAGTGGCGTAATTTGGAATTGGTTCTGGGGTGGGATTAGGATATAAGTTTACACTATCGTTCTAGTGTGGCTATGCCCCCCCCTCCCCCGTTGACCATTAAATCTCATAGATCACAATATTATATTAATTCATTATTATAAATTAATTAGAGGGAAATAAAGACAATAAAGCAAACAATTAAATTAAGCTAAATATATTTTTCATAAATTATAATATTATTTCAAGTTTTCCTTTTTTCTCAAAAATATCCAGTATGTCATCGGGGTTCAACTTAATGTCCCGATGCACTGATAACATTGTAAGTCCATTCAATCGTTCCTATTAAGTAGGTATTTAAGTTAGTAAAAGTTCATAATTATAATATAATTTACAAAAATAATGATTATTACCTGACCCATTGTGTTTCTGAGATAAGTTTTTACTCTTTTTAAAGTATAAAGCATACGCTCTGGTAAAGTGGTCGAGACTGGCAATGTACATAATATTTTTGAGAACAAATATATGTTGGGATAAATTTGTTCATCACACATAATAAGTGCTTGGAGACCAGATTTTGGAAGCTTTTCACATTTATTTAATTTACGCTTCCATAATTTTAATTTAAAAAAATGATTTGTCAAAACATTCTACATCAGGACTATAAAATTCTTCCAATTGTTTAAATGATAATTCTTCATCTTCAATTAAATTTGAATTTGTTGAAAATAAGCATTCGAACATATGGATGTTTGATAAATCTTTCAAGGTAACAATTTTTCCACTTTCATTCATTATTTTATGTTGGATCATTTTTTTATTTGCCTTAAGGTCCATTAGCTCCAATACAATTGCCTTACTTTCGGGTGTGATTTTTCTTTGATTAGGAAGATGACTATATAATAACTGGGAAACCTCATGGTTGTAGTCCTCTGTCATTTTTGTTATTACCAGGGCTTTTCCATCATCTGACGCTTTCAAATATATGCCAGCTTCACAGCTTTGGCGCATTGTACTTTAAACATTTAAATTTTTTAAATTTTGGCTTTTACAACTTAGTAATAAATATTTAGTTGCTAGTAACTAAGTAATAAAATAAATGTACTTACGATGTGGAACGTTGGTTTAGTGTATTTTTATGTTTGTAGCTTCCTCCATGCACACAACAAAATTTTATATAATAATATTTTTAATTTTTTGATGCTGTAACCATTCTACCATTTGGGAATTTTGTATTAATGGAGGCTAAGGTCTTACAGTCTTTAATAAAATAATCTACGAAATTCGTGTCTTTGTAGATCCCAAAGCTGTTTTCGAATTCTTCAAATGACGTAAATCGATCTTGAAGCTTCATAATTATATACTATGAATTAACTTTTAAAATAAAACTTTAAACTGAATAACTGATAAATGAATAACATGTACACGGTTAATGCAGCTCTATTCTCGTTATGAGGTATGAGGTTATAAATTGGAAAGAATTTAAAGGTAGATAAATGCCAAATAAACAATTAAAGTTTCCCTTATAAAAATCTATTATTAAATATTTAAATTACGCGCCCAATGCTTTTCGGTGTGGTACTCTGATCTAGCAACAGGTTGTTTACAGTGTAACCCGGTGCTCTACAGCAGGGATTCTCAAACTTTTATAAACACTGTACCCCTTTTTATCAATAAATTTTTTTGGGTACCCCTTCTTAGTTACTAAACTAAAATATATATAAAAAAATTTAAAGACTTACATACATTATTATTTCATTAAGATTAAGTTATTAAATACTAATATACAAAAAATTTTAAAAACTATAAGCGTTTATTTTCAAAGAAATTAGTGAGATGCGTGAGCTTGTTTCTGTTGGCACAGTTTATCAATATTGGGTTCTAATTTAGTTACATACAATCTTAAATCATCTTCGACATTTAATTTATTTCTATATTTACATTTAACATAAGTTAAACTTGAAAAACCTCTTTCACATAAATAAGTGGTGGAAAATCCAACAAGAAATTTTACAGCAGTGCTAGACAGTTCTTTTTGTTCCTTTCCAACATAGATCCAAAAATCTAACAATGTAGTACCAGAATTTAAGAATTTGTTTTTCATCGAGGGATCACACGAGACTTCAATGAGCTGCTCTTTTTCAAAAGTAGTCAGGTTAGTGTCTGTAGCATCAACATCAAAGGGATCACGTATCCAGTCATATTGTTTCTCCAAAGGCGGAAAATACTCTCTTATACGGATTTTCAGTGCATTCAAGTGCTGGACCATTTGAGTCTTGAGTTCAGTAAAATTAGATACATTTTTCTTAGTATCTTGCAAAAATATGTTCATTCTTTCAAACGGCTCACAGTTATTTGTTTGTATTTCTTTTTCCCAGAGAGTGATTTTTTTAATCATTGCATTGGTTTTTTTTTCTACATGAAAAATATCAGAAATACTGCCCTGCATGGAAAAATTCCAGATGTTGAGTTTTTCAAAAATATCACTTAAATAAGCCAACTTTAAAAGCCAATTAAATTCATTAATTACTGAAGAAAAATGCGATTTGTGTTCGATAAAAAAAATATGCAATTCTTCGCGGAGTTCAAACACACGGGACAAAACGTTTCCCCGTGATAGCCATCGTACTTCAGTGTGAAGCAATAAATTTTCATGAAGGTTCCCCATCTCCTGACATAGAATTTTAAAGTAGCGAGATTTTTGAGGCCTAGTTTTGATGAAGTTTACAATTTTTACACTATGATCAAGGACTTCTTTAAGTTCCTCAGAGAGGTGCTTAGCTGCCAAAGCCTCTCGGTGAAGAACACAATGAGTGAACTTACACTCAGTTGAAACTTTTTTAATATGGCCTACCAGCCCTGTAATGTGACCGCTCATAGCCTTGGCACCATCTATACACACTGACACACAATTTTTCCATTCAAGCTGGTGTTCAGATAAAAAAGAATCTAGCAATTTGAAAATATCTTCACCTTTTGTAGACGTTTTAAGTGTCTTACAAAATAAAAGATCTTCAAATACTTCATCTTGGAATATACCACGAACGAAAACGATCAGTTGGGCTAGGCCAGCGACATCCGTGCTTTCGTCGAGTTGTATCCCAAAGCAAGGGCTACCTCGAATTCTTCGAACAAGTTGTTCTTTTGTGTCATACGCCATATCATTGATTCTCCTTGAAACTGTATCATTTGATAATGGAATTGTTTTAATTATTTTTGCCTCTTTTTCTCCAAGCATGCAAGAAACAATTTCTACTGCGGCTGGAAGGATTAAGTTTTCGCCAATAGTGTGGTTTTTCCCAGACTTTGCAATCAAATGATTTACTTTATAAGAAGCTTTTAGTGCACTTTCATTTCGTTCTGCACCAGAAAACTGTTTTATATTGTTTTTCTTATTTTTAAGATCTTCTAAAAGACGTTCAAAGTACTGTAACTCCTTATTTACTACATTTTTATGTTTAGTTTCTAAATGGCGTTTTAAAAATGATGGTTTCATAGAATTGTTTGATAATATTTCAGAACAAACCACGCACTGTGGATTAGGCTCGTCCAAGCTTCCAGTCCAAGTAAAACCTAATTTTAAGTACAACTCGTCTTATTTTCTTTTTTTAGTTTTAGAGACATTTATCAGCTTTTCGAGTTTTTTAATTTTTCCCTTGTGCTGCTCATTAGTATCAAAACATTTAGGTATACTTATATTTTGTGAAGTTGATGGTCCAGAATTTTGATCATCATCCTCAAGAGGTCTTTTATTTATGAGCCATTTATTCGTTGTTAAATTTTATTATAAATTATATAATTAATATAATTATTGAATTTATATACAATATTATACAATTACAATATTATATTTAAGTACTGTACTCACTATAAACAGAGTCAACAAGCCTGAACAATTGTTTGAATAGGATTGAGTATTCGCATAACAACATAAAACAACACACAACACAATACTGTGAGCGAGATTATAATAACAGGCTATACCTATTACCTACTACTGTAGTGATACCGCCGCAGACCAACTGCGTTGGTTTGGGCATTCCCACAAGATAACCCGTGTTCTATTTTTATTTGTGTGCGTCCGTACACACGTACCAGTTAATCGCTAATAAAATCGTTAATCGCGATAAGAAAATAACGCACACACAGTTAGATACGCCATTTTAATTTAAAATTCACAAATGTTACCTTGGATTTTAGAATTTTTTTCTCTATTTTAATTTAAAGGTTTGTTGGCCAGACTTGTACCCCTTAAAAAATTTTGAGTACCCCCAAGGGGTACGCGTACCACAGTTTGAGAATCCCTGCTCTACAGTGTTACCAGGCACCCAGTAATCTATTACATATCCGGGCGTCCGGCGCTCTAGACACAGCGAATACTTTTTTCAAATATCTACTAAGCTATTACTTTTTGTTGGATCTTCTCTAAAGCTAGGTAGTGGCCAGGGCGCTGACCGTTGGCGCTGTACGTGAGATTTTATTACCTAGTTGTTGCGAGCTTAAAATTTTTCAAACAACAAAATAACACAAAATTCCACTAGAATAACATTTCTTAAACCCTTGAATGAAATATCAATAATTATTTTTACACTTAAATCAAGTATTTGTATGCTTTTCAGTCGATAAAAAATAAAAATTTAAGATGTGTATAATTATGTGACTTAATTATATTTTATTATTATTATTAATCTACTAAATTAACGAAAAATATTGAAAAGAAAACGAACCCGAGCATGCTCCACACGCGTATACAGATACAATACTAAAAATGCCTGGGTCGGAAATTAATTATTAATGATCATGACAAAATTATTTTACTTTTGGCCAACAAAGTGTTATTTTATAAATTGTAAAATCAAAATTTTTATATGATGTTTTTTTGTATAATACCTATAAAAACTTTTTAAATAAAATGTTTACATGATGTTTTTCTGTATAATATATAACATTTTTAAATATTATTCAATCATTGTTGATATAACACTTTTTTTTATTGTTCTATTAACAATCATGGTTAAATCTTTCATAAGCATTTGAGTTTTAAATTTAAATTTATATTATTACAAATATTTGGTACTCTTGAAATTTCCTGAAGTTTTGTATTAAGGTTGATACTATAATAAAAAACACTGCATGTGTAGTATGATATAATTTATTAGAATGTATTTGTTGTTAATACTTGTTATATAGAATTGTATAGGACATTAAAAAAAATACATATTATTGTACCTAATAATATCATTTTTTTAGTATGTTCAATAAAAAAACAAATATATTATTAATTATTATATGTCATAATATTAAACAATTTTAAAATAAAAAAAGACAATACAGCTTAGGTATATATCCTTTTCATCACATTAAATGTAGAGAAAAAAAGTATATTATAATATTATATATACTAATAATAATTGTTCATAGGTATAATCAATTATAAGTAAAGTAACATTCTTACCAAAAATGATTGAACAAGACTTCAATGTAAAAAATATCTTTTTTTATTCTTGACCCTTGTAACTATATTGTTCTAGTAAAATATCACAAAACAGATAGCGCATTATTGTTCTTACTGTACTAGGTAATGTATTTCTCCCAAATCGACTCAATTCAACAACCTGTGAATATTATATTTGTTATTAAAAATATATACTTAATAAGATACAATTATTACATATAATTTTATTCAAAAATATATAATTTATAGTATATTGCCATTTTATTTCAAAAAGAAATTTCTTTCAGCTTGTCTTCAAAAAAATGTAGACTATCTTCATTTTTTAATGGAAGTTGATTGTTAATGCAAATTTGAAAATCTTCTTGATCATTAGTCTTGGAAAATATTTGATGTTCTTTATTGCCAATATTATTTGAGTACCTACAAGTCTTCATGCATTTTATCAAGTTTTTCAAATATTACCTTTATATCACATTTGACATAAAGAATATTTCTATCAATTCTATTTAAAGTATCTATATAAAACAATTTAAGATTTACAAATAATATTAACTTATTTTAGAGTTTATAACAATAAAAATATATTTAAATTTACACAAAATTACCTGTGTATATATTTAAATGTAAATTATTACTTTTAGATAGTTGTAAAAATTACATTTAAAAAGTATTTCTTCTACTACTCAAATTCATTTGTTTTTTAAATGACATTCTTCTAAAATTTTAATTTAAATAAACAAATTAAGTAGGTTGATAGGGATTCGATCAGTGAATATAGATTATAAAATGTCTTTAAGATACAAGTATCGAGTATCGACTAGGTATTGAAGACTATAGCTAGTTAAAACCGAAACAGAATATTTTTGTCTTCGTGGTTAATAAACATTCACAGTTCACACAATCATATTATGTTATTAGTTATTACTTAGTATAATACTATTATTTAAAATTTGAAAATCACTTATAAATAGGTAAAATGATACATGCATAGAACAGTAGATACGGGTATCATAAAATTGGTATTTATTATTAATAATTACCTAGCTAATAATATATTAAATTTAGAAAAATATGTTATTAAGATATATTATAGCATAAGGTAGGTATATAGGACAGAAGTAGATTAATACAAATTATATTATGTATCAATGGACAAACATTGCATCATATAAATATGAATATACTTTGTTAATTTTCAAAAGTATGTTTTGTTAGAAGATTAGTAGATATTATAATCATAATAAAAGCAGCGACTGATGTAAAAAGATAAGATTTTGGTGGTGATTGTTTATTTTTACAAGACTATTATAAATATTTTTATTAAAAAGATCCAAACATGGTTTTGAACAAGTCTTACTCAATAATTCAATATACACTTCCTACTCCAGCAGGAGTAGGTACCTATTATAGTAAAATAGACAATAATATGGTATTTTTTATTAAAATGTAGGTACCAGCTATACCTAATACGAATCAAGATATCTATTATATAACCAGCTATCTTATATAAGGTATATCTTAATTTGCTGTGCGTACCTACCATATTATAATAATATATTATATATATAGTTGTTGATAGATAGTATATTATTTTATATTTTGTCAAGTTTTGAATGGTCCATTTAACTAAAAAATAATCTCTTACAAACCCTATCCCACTTAAATATAACTAAATATAATTTCCATTCTACAAAGTTATGTATTTATTATCATATTCAAAAATTTCTCAATTTTTTTATGGTGAATGTTGACCAAAACAAGACATGGGTTAGGTTAATGAGTGGCTAAATTATAAGTTATTAGTTATTATTCTTGTATTAATTAGTATATATTTTTAAGATAAATATAATATGACTTAATGACTTACAATAATTGCAACACTACTATATAATTGGTAAGTTACAAAGTTATATATTATTATATACAATAATATGATATTTGAT